ATGTCGAGTGTTATTGCTACAAAACATAATAAATGTTTTGTAGCTTTTAATGTGTAATTATCCTAATATCGTTTTAGAATCAATGTCATAAATTACAGGTATTTTAAACTGTGAAATTTTATTAGACTATGATTTTTAAGAGGGCTTTTTTAACAAATATATGTTAAAAAAATAAATAAAATTTAATAGTGGCCGTGGTAAATCCATAGTGGCTAAGGTTATCTAATACCTAATTCCTAATTTAATTACTTATAATTAGCTGCTTACCCTTAAAAATTATCTCTGCATATTAAAGCGAGTTATTGCCTTTCATTAACCCTTACTGTTGTGACAAGATAAAATACAAAAATGTAAAAATTCATGTAAAACTTATTCTTTGCATCTAATGAGACTTAAAATAGTGAAAAACAACTTATCACATCTGGTGCTTTAATAACAATTATATTATCTGAGTCACAACCCCTGGAACTCTACACGAAGCTAAGACACTAACTGCATTGGACGGAGCCCAGCTAACTTTAAGAACTTGCCAACCGTGCCTCAGGCCTTTCAGGTTTGTTCTGATTAGTAGGTCTCTCTCTAGGCAACAGTGACAACAGCCAGTCTTTTGTTATGAATCATCCTGATTATGATTTTGCTTCTCATTTTAACCTGTGCTTCTTGACATAAAAATCTGTTTACTATTTACTAAACCTCTAGACTGAGTGAGTATGTGACAAAATGAGACATTGAAATAAAAAAAAATCAACAAAAAGCTAATTGTTAGTAAAATGTAAATAAAATGTCACTTATCTTTTTTTAAATATGTCCAAGTATAAAATATGTAATGTTACTTTATAAATTTCGTAAAGTTTATTTTATTCTCAAACTTATTAATAATAATGTTAATTAAGATATGTTTAATAATAATGCATCCTACTTATGGATCTATATATTTTTTTTTAGGATGGCATTACAAAAGAAGTTCAGGCATAGATAATATTTTTAATTGAATTGGTACTTACGTATTAACGCAACCAGGCCAAAATTCGCATAAATCGCCAAATTTGGCGACCCTACTTACGGCAACCCTACGTGTTATACGTAGTAGTTTTTCGTAAAGAAATTATTTTACTTACTGGTTAGATTGAATGCCCTGAAATATTGGGTATTGGTATTGGGATCTGCCTGCGAGGCAAAATGGCGCTACAAAAAGCAGAGAGGAACAGCCCGTCATCATCTTGACTCATACCTTATCGAATTTATATGGCGCCAAGCTCAAGCTGTTAATGGCGAAGACGGTTTTCAATCAGTGCTAAAAGCAATAGCCAAAAGATTTCCGCTGAAAAAATAATTCTGCAACTTATTCACATTCGAAACCGGAAGGGTTTAATTGCTATTTTATATTTTAAAACAAAATAATATAAAAAACTGTATTGAAAATTATCTGTAATTAATAAATGTACATTTTCTTTCTATTCATACTTTTTTACTCAAACTTACAAATCGCGCCAACCTGGTTGCGATAATACATAAGTACCATTGAATTTATTCAGTTCCCATTTGCTCATAGGTCTTTAATTTTTTTCATTAATGGTCCTTAAAAGTACTTCATTTCCGTGTGCACAAATGTGTACGAACTCTGTAAACTACTTTCACCTTTTTACAAATGCCACACAAGCATCTGATCTCTCATCAATTGGCTTTGGAATTTGGTGATGAGTACATCACAGTGCGAGTTTGGTTCATATGTTGCACTCTGCATGGAATTCAGTGACTCTAAGAACGAATGTGTACGAACGAATGTGTAAAATTCTCTCTAAGAACTATAAGAATGAACTCTAAGAACGAATGTGTAAAATTGTTTTCGTCATGTACGATTCTCAAAAGTATCAGATTCTTTGGCACCAAAAGAAATGTAGAAGGAGAATATTGAAATTGAGCTGACACTTAGTGAAATGTTTGAGAACGTTTCGGCATTAATGGACTGTCCCTCGGTTTCGTGTTAAGCGATTTTCACAGTACTTCATGCAGCTTAAATATTAATAACTTTTTCAAAATTCAAGGAAAAAATGTAACGTATCCATCTGTACAAAAATTAAATTTTCTTATCAAATATTAATCGAATTTACAATAAACCAAAATGAATTTTACACGATAGTATTATTGCCGCTAAATCAAACTGGCAATAATGAATATGTGTTAATAATATTACAAGCTCTGTAATGGCATTACAAATCTCTCATTTGCTAAATTTTTCAGAGGAAAAAAAAAAAATATGCTAGATATCTGGACTTTTACTGTAATACAGTAATAGTTCGTTTAGGCAAGTTAATCTGGAGAGGGTTTGGTTTTGACCCAGCAGATGTGCTGCTAATGGCTGTGGATATTTATCATCATCCAATATTTCGTAATGAAATACATCAAAGTACTTCATAGGCTCATGATCATAGGCACTTTTGAAGAATTTTTCATTAGATTTCTTCAGGAATTCACTGATGAAAAAATTTTTAAATGTATATGAAAGAGACTATTTTTCACATAGATGTGAGCATTTAGGATGTTTCATAGAAACCTGCTTTGTACTATTTGTAGTTTATTAATGTCTATTTTCATAACAGCTGCACAAGCTGGTACAGCATAAGTCATGATGGTGTTACTGCTGAAATATATATTAGCTGCTTTTTGCAAAGGTCTAATTTGGACTATGTTCTGATGATAGGGAAAGATATTTCACTACTTTTAGGTCTTCATTTCTCGCATGCTGAATATCATTAGTCCAGGAAAGAGTATATTTCAGGTCCCCCACGGCAAAAACTGGCAATTTTTTTTGGCACCATTCCTGTTTATGTGCAACTTCTTCCCAAGTAAAATGCCATCTGAAACATAATGAAATAAAACTTTGAAAAAATTATAGTCTCAATAAAGCGATGGGTAGAAAATTATTCAGGCATCAGGAATGTCTGAAGGGTCAGACGTTTTGGGTGACTTCGATGTGAAAGAGTTAAGGGTGTTCTGTCTTTATTCAGTCTGACATAAATAATTAAAAGCTTCCTGTGATTTCCATACACATCACTGGATAAACTACTTTGCAAATAATGCCTGGGTAAAAGTTAGTTTAGATTATCCCTTGGCGACTTTTGGCGGCACATGGATACCGATTTTGTGCAATTCTTTGACTTGTTATTTTGGCTTGAGAAGCGGCAATTTTTGTGCCAAAAATTGCCGCTACACAAAGCCAAAATAACAAGACACAATTGCACAACTTGGTATCGCATGTACACATCGACTTATTTTCACTTAAAAAAAAACCCCCGAATTGCACAAAAATGGCATTGCGCACTCCTTTGACTTTATCTATGTACACGTCAACCTATTTTCACTTTAAAAAAAATCCCTCAATTGCACAAAATGGCATTGCGCACACTTTTAACTTTATCCATGTACACGTCGACCTATTTTCACTTAAAAAAAATCCCAGAATTGCACAAACTTGCATTGTGTGCTCCCTTTACTTTGTCCATGTACACATCGATATATTTTCACTTGAAAAGTCAAAGGAGCACCAAATTCTACAATATAGGCAAACAAAAATACATAATCTCAGTAAAATACATTTTAAACCAAAGAATAAAATAACATAAAAAAGGAAAAACATGTTATACATTTAAGCACTACCAAAAGCAAATATTCACTTACCATGATTTTCAAGTTCGCTTCGTACACCCAGAGCCACGTAAAAATCAAAATATCAATCATACTCAAATGACTTTTTTCAAACCAGGTACTCTTTCTTATCGAACGCTTCACATAGTGACCATCTGAACCTTTCTTTCTACAAACCCATTCAAATCCATCTAAACAATTTTCACACACCGCAAAAATGCTTACAAAACATCCCAAGATTCAAAATTTCCTAGAATCATGCACCCGATTACGTCACAATAGGGTTTCCATAACATTCAACTACTCAGGCTACAATAAATGAAACAACAACTTGGCAATAAATCAAACAACAACTTCACCATAATACACCGGGTACCTTAAAGTCCACTCTACCCAATGCCTGAAAGGTTTCAGGGATTGGGAGAGGGAAGGTTGTGGGGTAGAATTACACTGGTCAACATTTTGACACCTTTTTTTTTTTTAACCTGGCTGTTATATAACCTCCATTGTCAGTTAGGGGATAACTGATTTCTTTTTGGTTGCTATTAAACATTCATTATGATTTTTAGAATTTTGTGCAATATAATATTTTTTTGACAATAAGAAAGTATTTTATTGTAATATGCAGTATTACAATAAAATACTTTCTTATTGTCAAACAATTGTTCATTGTTTTATTGAAATATGCAGTATTACAATAAAATACTTTCTTATTGTCAAACAATTGTTCATTGTTTTATTGTAAACTGCATATTGATGCAGTTTCATTTAATATTTAATAATTTGAGTGTGAAATGTGCAATTGTGAATAACACATAAAATAACAAATAAAATATAAACAAAAATTATGTGCTATTTAAAGTATTTGGTGTTGAAAATTGATTTCTGTATTTGTATACAAAACTGTGTGTTAATAGCAAATAAATTTCTATGAACTATATATAATTTCAGTTTAGAAAAAGGGATTTTAGGGAATAACTATGTGTATGCCAAAATAGTAATTAACTCAGAATTTACCAAAAATTCGTTTAAAATTAGCGAAAATATTTTTTTTTGTAGGTTTTGATGAACAGAAGTACATTTCATTGACATATATTAGAGTACTAGCTTGTGGCAATTTTGTTTAAAAATGGATAAATTATTTAAAAAAATAACAGCTTATTTTACTCAATTTCTCTTTTAAATTTACTTATAACTTGATTTAATTGAATTGAATTATTAATCTAGTGACATAAAATTACTTTTTTGTGTGTGTTTGATTATCCTGCTGTTTTTACTTTGATTATTGTCATGGTAGATCATGATGCTTTTTCAGACTATTAAATTATTTAATTCTAATCTTTCTTCTCATTCAGGATGCTCTACGCTCTATACTAACAGCCACAAGAGCTTCCTGTGATTTGCCAGCTGCTGGAGTAGATTTTGATTATTACTCTTCTTTTAATGGTTTTAAGGCATTCTTAGTACGGGAAGGGCAATCTATATTATCTCTGTAAGTATAACATTCGGAAAAGCTCATGTATTAAAAATAGCATTTAAATCTGAACAGTGCTATTTATATTATATTATGTGATCTTCATTTTGTAAGTTTATTTCCAACTAATGTTCATAATTAAAGAAATTTAATTTGTAAAAATTATCTTATAAGTTAAAATTGAAAAAAATAGTGTTGCATCATCTGGAACGTTTTTTTTTAATGATAAACGCAAATGAAATAGTACAGAAACATATGAAAATTTCATTGAATTACATAAGCAGCATTTCTTTTTCTTTTTCTTTTTTTAAATTTTCTTTTTGCTATATCACTGCAGCCAGAAAATTCCCTTTTTTTAAAAAAATAAGTCAATAAGTTTATTCATAAAGAGGTACTGTTTGGACTCCAGGTGGTTCATAAATTTTAAAATTACCATAAGAGATATAAATCTCAAGGAGCAAGGTTTGATGAATATTGGGAAGGGAAATGACATAAAATATCTCAGCCATACTTTGACATTCAAGTCTTTGATATTCATTAAAATTTAGTACTGAACATTGTCATAATGGAAGTTAATACATAGATGATTGGTAAGTCCTGCATGCTTTGCTTTGGATTCTGCTTTTAAAACTACCATTTAGGAACAGTAATTTTCAAATTTATTATCTAATTTGGTGGCAACAATTCACAGCATACAATTTCCTTGTAGTCCCACCATACACAGAGCATTACTTTTTTGTAATGCAGCTGCCTCTCAGTGTTACTAAATGAAGTTCTTTTGGCTAAACCTGTGATATTTTTTTTTTAGTAGTATAATATCCACATTTCATCTTGAGTTATGAGGCATTTAAGAAAAAGCTTTTTAATATTTTTTTGGCAAAGAATTGCATGCTGAAATTTCAACAAGCATATTCTGCTCTGGTAAAGTACAGGGTACCCGTACCTACCTTATAGTCTGTTAGAAACTCACTCTTTTTCATATGATCATGTACTGAATTTGTCAAAATAGTTTTATTATGTCCTATAATTCCTGGACTGTATAATGTGGATTTTCAGAGAAAGCGTCTTTTAATAGGTCCTTGTTTACAGAGAAAGGGCATCATTTTCAAGAATCTTGCAGAGAATGGGCATCATCTTCAAGGCTGAAATTTTCATTCTTAAAAAATTCTCAAACTACCTTTTAACAGTGTCAATAAAAACAGCTTTTTTTCCATATACAGCACACATTTCATAAGCAGTCTGGCTAGAATTTTTCCCTTTTTTAAGGAAACAAAGGAGCTTATATGACGAAAATGAACTTAGATTCTCCATTCTTAGCACTATACATAATGATTAAAAAAAAATGTTTGTTTATTCCACAAGCCACCCTAGAATTATGAATTATTCCACAAGCCACCCTAGAATTATGAGCATGAGCAGGGTCATATTTAATTATTAATTAAAAATCTGCCTCAATCAAAATCATTCCGTATCAGAGCTAACAAAATAATTGAATGTAGAATTATAAAAACCACAGAACTTTCTGGATGACTCCAATGTTTGAAAATTTGTCTATGTTTTAACACATTTTGCACTTATGCATGCAGGTAATTGAAATTATTTAATTCAATTACTTTTTTTTATCTCCAGAATTTTGGAAAATTTGTAGAAAAGTTCATTTGTATAAAAAAGTGCAGTTTTCTGAAAACCGATATTTGAGTTTCAGACCTCTCATTATAGTAAACTGATATGGATTGAAATTTCTTTCACCAGTAAGAAGGAAAAAAAAAAAAAAAAAAAAACTTTACAAAAATACCCTCTGCCTCTTTCCAAATAAGAAAAAGAATATTGAACTTCATGCCGTAATCTGTAACAGGCAGTTAAATTATCTGCTATTTCAAAATCCAAAGAATTTTTTATTTTGTTGTGAATAAATAAAAATGCAAGTGTAGTTAAATTAAAAACTATGTATTTCTATCACTTTTTTTTACCAGGAGGTAGGCTTCCATGCTACTTATTATCACCATTCTATTTCACATTAACAATTTTCTTATACTTGACACATTCTGCTATAACTTTTCAGTAATTCCTGTATGTATATAAAAATTCTAAACTGAGTATATTGTCGTACAGTTTTTAGAACTAAATATAACAGTATTAACCCTCTCGCTGTGTAATTTTTTTATGAGTATAGGTTTGAAAATTGCGTAATTTTTTAATTACACATTTCAGCCCTACATATATTTTAGAGTTAAAATGTATAAAAAGTTTTTGTAAAAGAGTTTTTTTTTTCAGTATAGAATTAGCTCATACAAAAAGGTTGTCGGAAACTTTAAACTGAAGAATAATGATTAAGTTTTATAAAATATAATGGTAAAACATATATACTAATGAAAATACGCAAAATATTTATAAAACATTTATTAGAAATGAAGTGTTATATAATAAACTTCGAAACAAGGCTCGAGGCATCCTATCTCGCCATCTTTGCACCAAATATGCGTTTTTTTTTGAGAATTTTTTTGCCAGTTTCAGTTCTTTTTTTAGAAACAAACAGCACAATGTCTACGAGTTTCTTTCTTGAATGAATTGAGAGGTATATATCGAGCAAAATGCCAATGGACGACTAATGCCATCTGTTAACCCAGTTCTGAATAAATAATTAAACATCACAGAAAAGCCGAAACAAAACCATGAACAGGAAAAGAGCAGGTTGCGCAGTTAAATAAATGAAAAATATGCATCCCCGCAGAAATCGCAGGTTGCAAAAATTTTGCTACTTTTATGTTGCCCTTGGAAATCGCGGGATATGTAGCGAGAGGGTTAAAGATGTCAACTAATAACATTCATTCTCTCCCCCCGAGTAACTTCCTAAATGTGCAACTACTTATGAAAAGGTAGCTCCCAAAAGTGTTTGGACAGTTTAAGAATTTATAGAAAAAGTGGTGTAGTCTGGAATTAAATTCAGATATAAAGCCCAATATTTTTTTCATATCCTCTCCATTCGATTTTGCATAAAACCAAACTTTTCTTTTTTTTAATACTGACCTATTTTCCTTTTGTAGAATTGAAAATGTAAGGAGTCGTAGATAAAACACACCACAAAAGTGATCTTACACTGAAACATTTTCATAAAATGAAATTATACTCTGACACTTTTTTTCTTTCATTTTAATGACATTTAAAAATTCGTTTGGCTTTGTTATTTGCTTGCTTACTTCATTGTAATTTAATTAATATTTAAAAGTTTGTTGTAGTCGTCAACAAATATCACTAAAAAATTGAGAATTTTTCATCAGAAGGGTAGAAAATAGATCCAAGATATCGCTAAATTAGTAAATTTATCCCATTCTATTGTGCTGTATGTGATAAAACGCGTTAAAGAAGAAAACTGGATTGAAATTAAAGTAAGAAGATGTCATCTGGCAAAGTTAATACAACATTATCAGAGATTTATCATTAGAAAATTTGTGAAAAATCCACATTTTTGAGTGCTGTAAAGATTTCTACAGAATTTACTGAAAAATTTTCTACTTCAGTTTCATTTGAAACTGTTTGACGAGTACTCAGATCAGCTGGACTACATGGCCGCTTTGCTCGAAAATTTTTTGCAAGTGAAAAAGAAAAAAAGCATATTTTTTTTTCCTTTATTTTGCACGATAAATAAGCCCAAAGCATATTGGAATCAAGTCTTATTTGCAGATGAAAACAAATTTAACATTGTTTCTGATGTGCATATAAATTTTATGGAGAAGGAAAAATGAGGAACTTAATCCGAAGATCTTGATTAGTACAGTAAAGTTTGGCGTTGGAAGTGTCCTTGTGCATGTCAGAATCAGGATTAGGTAATTTAGTATTTATTGGTGGAATATTGAACCATGCTGTTTATTTAAATATTTTAAAATGTAATTAAAAATTATCCTCCCCACAAATTTGGGTATTGAAAACAACTTTTTTTTTTTTTTTTTTTTTTTAATCAGGGTAACAATCCTAAGTACATTGCCCTCAACATTTGCCTTTGGTGTGTCTATAATTATCCACAAGTTCTAAAACCACCACCTCAATCACTAGATTAAAACCCGATTGAACATATTTAGAGAAAATTACATTTTAGAGCATGGATACACAACATAAAAATGTAAACTGAACTAAAAACAGGAATGGTAGAAGAATGGGGGAATATTAATGCACATATTACCCTCCCCCTAAAAACTCTGGTGAACTCTATGCTCAGATATTTGAAAGCTGTCATAAGCTCCAAGATATCCTACAATCTACTGACTAACAGAAATACTATAATATTTACTAAATAATATGTGCAGATTTCTTTAAAGTATAGGAAGACTTTTGTGGGGTGACTTTAGTGCCACTTTTTAATTACTGATTTTTCAAAAAAAAAAAAAAAAGTTTTGCTATGTTCATAAAAACGCTAATGTATTTTTCCTAAGAGAAATTTATAGATATTATTGAAAAATTCTCATTCTCAAATATAAATTTTTATTTATGAATAAAGCAATATTTAGCTGAAACTTGTAGGTGTATGAACAGTACAACTTTTGTGAGCCACTGTATGTAAGGCAAGTTGTGACTGGTGATTAGTCATGGCTCATTGGCTTCAGTAATAAAGCTTAGCTATTGGTGGACTTCGAAAAATAGGCTAATGAGAATTTTTTTAAAAATACTTATTTACTTTATTTTTAATATTAAAGATTAAGCATGTTGAAAAATTTCAACATAAACAAACAGAAATTGAATACTTATTCTCTTTCAATTATTAGAATTGCATGCTAGTTAGTGTAATAATTATTTTTTTTATAAGTTATATAAAATTTTTATTATTTAAAACAATTAAAATTTGTATTATAATTTCGTTAAATAATAAGTGTTACTAATTAATTAAATACTTTTAATGTTTTTTATTAATGTCTGCCAACGGTTACCATTTATTGATGATTTTAATTTGTTGCAGCTATTTCTGCCATCACCAGGGAAAATGTTTTCTGTTGCCAAAAAGCCAGCCTGTTTAAAATGTGTCAAAA